AGCGTAAGTGATTTTTCCAGAATCACTCAGCAAGGAATATCCTGGCTGACCCCATGGCTGTATAGACAGCACTTTGAGACCATAAAGAAAGTAGAATGGAGATCTCTGTGAAAGGGAGGGTTGCCCCCGCCCCCCATAAGTCCTCTGTGTGATCTCTGACCACCATATCCCTCCATTTGGAATCTGGCTCCTATCTGCTTACTCGGCAACATCTAGGCACAGATATCTTGGGGGGGCACGGCCTGTGTTCCTGAGGCCCTGCCTCTCCTGCACCATCAGCCAGCTCTGACCCAGCACCACAGGCGCCATCCCCTCAGATGGACCCTGCCAGTCTTAGGGTCTGTGGGGTATTGCCTCCCCAAGGGGCTCCCCCCATAATCAGTTCTACCCACAATGACCTGACGTCCCTGCCTGAATTCTCAGGGGCGGATTTCCCTTGGAAATCGGTCAGTGCTCTACCCCTTCTCGTTCCCGTGCTCTCCCAGGGTATGACCTGCTTCACTTACACCGGTGGTCTCTGGGGGTATGACCTCTGTGGGGTCTCAACCTCTGCCACTGAGTCCTCGACCCCTCTCTTCCTGTTGACTCCCAGAACCGAAAGGGACAGGTCCCAGCGGAGGTGGTTCCAGACCCCATGGACATGTCCCTGGACAAGGCCGAGGCGGCGCTGGTGGCCAAGGAACTGCGAACACTGCTGGAGGAGGCTGTGCCGCTCTCCTGTGCCCTGCCCAAGGTCACGCTCCCCAACTATGACAACGTCCCAGGCAATCTCATGCTGAGCGCACTGGGCCTGCGCCTGGGAGACCGCGTGCTGCTGGATGGCCAGAAGGTCAGGAACCCGGTGGCGTGGTCGAGCAGGTCTCAGCCCTCAAAACTGCGTCCTGGGGCAGAAGGCAGAATCTGCCCTTTGTGTGCCCACCCTCACAATCATCCGCACAGCTTTACTTCATTTAATAGTTGCTCTCTGAGTGCCTCCTTTGGGCCTCTGTGCTGAACCCTCTGTCTTGAAGCTTGGGGGGCAGACAGATCCACCACCTGACGGTGACAGCCCAGGCCAGGGGTGGCCAGCATGGGGAAGCAAAGTGATCAACATAGCTTTGCACCTGAGGGGCCCCTGGGCCTTGTGACACCCCGCCTGGCCCCTGCTCTGCTCCCTGCATGGTCAGTGGTTTGATTAGGCAGGTCCAGGTCAGAGCAGTGAGGGCTGTGATGAGGGCTGCACCCACTTGAAGATTAGAAGGAATGATGCAGGAGAAGAAAAGGAAAAATGGTTTCAGGCGAGAGGAGCAGGTGTAAAGGCCCAGAGGATAGAGTCTTCCTTCATCCAGGGAGTCCAACTTTTTTCTCCCTTTGTCATTTACGTTGTTGTTATTTTGTGGACAGTCCAAGTTTGATTCATTTACCTGGTATCCCTCTGGTCCGTGCTGGCCCTGACCCCTCCATGTTGATAAAGGGCCATTTCAGCCTTGGCCCTGCTCTTCTGGAGTTCCATTCCTAATGAAGAAGAGAGAGGCAGGTAGCAATAAGGATTTTGAAAATCATTAAGTGCTTGAATTTAGTAAATTGTTAGCTGTCTGAGGGCAAAGCTGGTTTTACCTGGGATGTTCCAGGAGGGCTTCTTGGAGGAGGTGCTATCTGAACGGAGATGGGAAGAGCTTACCCTGCAAAAATAGAGAGACAATGGAAACCACAGTGCAGAGGCTCAGAGGACGGAAGGGGTAGTAGGATCGGATGGATATTCTCCAGGGTGGGGGAGGTAGAGCGGTAAGAAGGTTGAGTCACACCAGACCTGAGGGCACTGGAAGGTTTTGGATTGTGTTTATTATATAGTGAGAGACGGTAAAGGTCATGTTTTATTTCCTAATCAGGTTAGACCTATCTTTCTGTACATGACTTAATTAAATTCTTGTGACAATTCTGGAAAGTAGGAGAGTGGACTGTTCCCCAGAAGAAGCTCAGAGAGATGAAGCCCTTTACTGAAGAAATTGCATAGCAACGTCTGCTCGTTAGAGAAGTAGCATCACACAGTAGTGTGGTTTGGAGGTTCACCGTGGGACCTGGGGCCAATGAGTCTATTCTTTGGGTATCAATTTCTTCATCTGTGAAATGGAGCTAATAACAAAACCCACATCAGGGATTGCATGAGATCTGAATTAGTTAAAAAGTGTAAAAACCTTAGAACAAGGCATGGTGTATACCGAGTGTTCTCTGTGTGCCAGGCACTGTATTAGTCCCCACACGAATGCTCCAGAGTAGGCATTGTTGATTAGCCCATTTTAGAGACAAGGAACTGAGGTTTAGAGAGGGAAGCAGCCTCACCAGTGCTAATTATCATACTTCCTGGGGGCTCTCCACCAGACAAATGACTTACAAGGTTGATTGTTAGCCCTATTTCACAGATGAAACTAAGCCCCAGCAGCCCCCTGATCAGAATCACAGGTTAATAACAGCCAGCATTTCCTCAGCACCAGGCCCTTTTCTGAGGCCTTTCTCTGTCATACCCCTTCCGACAGTCCCTTCTCTGTGATGGAAATGTTCTTTGTGCTACCCACAGCCACACATTATCTGTACCTAATGGAGGAAGTGATATCTGAACGATACCAGATATCTGATATCTGAACCTATAATGTGACTAATGCAACTGGGGAAGTGAAATTTTAACTTAATTCTAAACAGTCATATGTGGCTATTTACTGCCCTGGACAGGGCCCACTCTCTAGCAATCCTGTAAGGTGGGGGTCATTTGTGCTGCCATTTTGCAGATGAGGACACTGAGGCACAGAGAGGTTAAGTCGCACAGCCATTAATGGTGATGTCTGAGCTGAGACTTGAACCTGGGGCGCCCTCCTGCACACCATCAAACTGCCTGTGTGCCAGTGATCTGCCATGGCCTCTCCAAGCCTCATCCCCACTTGTTTCCTCAGACGGGCACGCTGCGGTTCTGCGGGACTACAGAGTTCGCCAGCGGCCAGTGGGTGGGCGTGGAGCTGGATGAGCCTGAGGGCAAGAATGACGGCAGCGTTGGGGGTGTCCGGTACTTCATCTGCCCTCCCAAGCAGGGTCAGTCCCACCTGGGGCCTAGGAGGGTGGTGGTGGGGTGCACTCATGTCTGATGCTCCTGACTGGGTAATTGGGGTTAAGGATGATGGCGGGGCAGGGGGCAGAGGCTTGGACGACTCCCAGCTCAAGCTCTGTCCCCCCCCCAGGTCTCTTTGCCTCTGTGTCCAAGATCTCCAAGGCTGTGGACGCACCCCCCTCGTCTGTCACCTCCACGCCGCGGACTCCCCGAATGGACTTCTCCCGTGTCACTGGCAAAGGTCGCAGGGAACACAAAGGTCAGAAGGGGGGCTCTAGGGGTGAGAAGAGCCAGGTGTGGGGACATTCTATGGGTAGCCCAGCTTCTGTGGCTCAGACCCAAACTCCCATTTCAGAGGATGGTCCCAGTTCCTGACACCCCTGACTTTGTTTCTCCTTTGCCTCAGCTCCGGCCCTGCCCTGTTCCTAGAAGTTCCTTTGGGCTCCCTGCCTTCTATGACTTAGTGTTCCCTCAGGCCCAAAGGTTTTTCTGCAGTTTTAGGCACAAATCTGTGGGGCCCCTGGTTTTATTATCTTGATTTATCCTTAGACACCTTCCCCCCTTCATTTTAAAAGGACAGTTTCTGGGCTCCTGACTTCTGTACCTCAGCTTTTCCTTTGATCCAAATACCCTCAGCTTTGAGAAGGGATTTTGGGGCTCTCCAGATTCTTGGCTCAGTTTCCCTCAGCCCTGCAGGCCCCCACCTCAGTTCTTGGGTATCTGGGGTTCAGTTTCCTTTCAAGCCCACAGCCCCACAGTTCTGAGGAAGGCTCTAGCGCTCCTCTGGTTGGAGCCGCAGCTGAGTATCCACCTTGGGGCCTTCTAGGTGACATGGGGTCCTGAGATGGTGCCTGGGGCTCCCCCCTTACCCCTGTGCTCTACACCTCCAGGCAAGAAGAAGCCCTCATCATCCCCGTCTCTGGGCAGCCTGCAGCAACGTGAGGGGGCCAAGGCTGAGGTGGGAGACCAGGTCCTGGTGGCGGGCCAGAAGCAAGGGGTTGTGCGCTTCTACGGGAAGACGGACTTTGCTCCAGGTGAGTATGGGGAGCAGCGCTGGGGTGGGTGGGGCCTCAAAGCATTCTGACACCTTCCTGCTGCAGGTTACTGGTATGGCATCGAGCTCGACCAGCCCACGGGCAAGCACGACGGCTCTGTCTTTGGTGTCCGGTACTTCACCTGCCCGCCGCGGCATGGAGTCTTTGCACCAGCGTCCCGAATTCAGAGGTGAGCCTGAACTTCAATCCCAACCCAGAGCCTGATCCCCCCAAGATGTCTCCTCCTCTGAGGTCAGCAGAACAGTGGACAGTGTGGGTTCCCACTCCCATCCCCTGGTCCTTTCCATGTGCCCCCCGCCCCCACCCCAGCCTTAGCTCCTGGTCAGACCCTGGCCTCTGGCAGCTCTGACGCCTCTGACTCTTCCTGTCTCCCCAGAATTGGTGGATCCACTGACCCTCCTGGGGACAGTATTGGAGCCAAAAAAGTGCATCAAGTGACAAGTGAGTTGGGAGTTGGGGTGTTGGGAGGAGTGTGGGTGTGGAGACAGAAGGAAGGGCCTTGGGTTCTCAGGGCATCTCTAGCATTTCACTGGGGACACAGTGTCCAGGCAGTGATGAGTCAAGATCCCACAGGGACAGGTGCTATGGGGTACGGGAATGACAATGACAAGGCTCTGGGCAGGCATTGGGCACATGGGTAAATATTGGGGGACACAGGGGATATCAACGACACACATTCCAGATGGGTCTTGGGAATATGGGATCCAGGTGGCACTTGGGATGTGGATTAGTGGCACTAAGGGCACAGGTGGTCTGTCATCCTCTTTTTTGAGACTCTGCCCCCCTTTTCCAGTGACGCAGCCCAAACGCACCTTCACGACAGTCCGGACCCCGAAGGACATCGCGTCAGAGAACTCCATCTCCAGGTGGGTAGCCAGCCCTGGGCCCTGTCGCCTCTTGAGATGTTCAGGCAGAGGCTTCCACATGGCCAGTGGATGGAGATCTGGAGTTCTAGTTGGGGTGGAAATAGATGTTAGGAGAACTTGTGATTAATCAGCTTACCCAGAAAGTCTTCAGGTAGTGGGGCCCCACATTGAATTCTGGTGGCTGCAACTTTTAAGGGGCAAGTAGAGGAAGCAGAACACCTGTCTATGCCATAGAAGCCTGAGAAGGCACTGCCAGAGAGACAGAGGCAGAATCCAGAAAGGTCAAATCCCAATCACTGGGGGAAGGAACTAGAGCGCAAGGGGGTGGATCCAGATGTTTCTGCTGCTTGCGTCAGAGTGTGATGTGGTTTTCCTTCCCAGGTTGCTCTTCTGCTGCTGGTTTCCTTGGATGCTGAGGGCGGAGATGCAGTCTTAGAGGCCCTGACGCCTGACAAAGACACAGAGCCCCCTCTAGTGTCTCCTGACACAAGGAGTCCCCACGTCACCCTGAGATAAGAGATCCCCAGTAACACATCCAGAATAGAGACCCTACTAGCCAGCCCTCGATCACTGAGGCCCCATTATTAACATGATAACCCCCCAAATACAGAACCCATGTTACCCAGAAAGAGATTTCCTGAGTGTAGCACCTTCAGGCTAGTCCCTGTCCTCAATCCCTCAGAGCAGACCCCCTAATTAACAGATTTCTACATCACCCCAAATGGTGATGACCTTCTCCACATAATGCTCCATAACAGAACATTCCTGAGTCACTCATCACTGGATCAGGATCCCCCTATTAGCAAAGACACCCCCTCCCATCAAGTCCCCGTGAAATAAACACAGGTCACACCTCCAGAGCAATAGAGTCACAGACCTTCATCCCACATTTAACATCAGTTCCCTTAAGATGGTGTGACCCCAGTGGTCACCTCAAAACCCTTGCACTGCAATCAGAGATCCCCACCATTAACAAAACCCCTGCTCTTACCCTTCAAGAAGAGACCCACATGAACCGGCCTATTGTCACCCCCAAGTTATAGACACCAAAACAGTCCTGGAAGTGCTAATTACAGGACCCCCAAGTCTTCCTGCCCTCTGCACCCTCAAGAAACCCCCAGTGCCTTGTATGAAGCCCACCCCACATGGCCCAAAGCCCCTGTGCTGGCCAGGCTCCCAGAAAATTCTCTATTTTTTAAGTAATGACTTCCCCCTTGGGGGGACCCCAAATTTGGAGGCCCCATTCTGACACCCCGGGGATCCTAAGCCCCAGAGTAAATATCCCTACTCCCCTATGCACCCAAGCCCTGTAACCCTTAGAAAACCCCAAGGCCCTAACTCCCAGGACCCCCAAATTGTGGATTTGGGGGAAATCCCCAGGGAATCCTAAATTTAAAAAGCCTATCCCAAGCCCCCCCAGGAAACCCCAATTCTGGAGGTCCTTGTGCCGGGGATGGAGGAGAGAGCAACCAGGATGTGCATCCCAGGCTACCAGGACACCTCAAGTGCTATTCGTAGGCACCAGGAGACCTCAAACAGGAATTCTCATCCCTGGAACCCGGAGGACTTCAATATCAAGTCCATGGATCTCAAGACATTAAAATTCTAGAGCCCCAGCCCCAAGGGAACCCCAAGTCCTACAGCCTCCATCTTTAATACATAAAGGGCCTCAAGGCCTTGAGGGGATCCCAAATCCTGGAGCCCTCATTTCAATCTACGTTCTGGTCACAGGTTCAAAACACCAAATCTGGCCCCAGAGGACCTCACAAGCACCAGGGCCAGGCCAACAGCCTGAGGGAGACCCTGAAGACCCAGGGAGGTCCAGGGCGGACCTGGGGCCCTGACCACCAAGGACAGCTCACGACTGCCCCTTCACTGCATGTCCCCTCAGCATGACCCCTGCCCCGCGTCAATAAAGATGTTTCTATGGCTTCCCTGCGTCGGGTCAGTGTCTGGGAGTTAGCGCCCCGTTTCTGTACCCTGGCTGGGGGAGGCTAGGATTGGGGAGGCTGGGAGGGGATCCTTCCTTCCATCTCGCTTCTGTGCGGCGCGGGCATAGGACGGCAGAATCTGGGGGCGTCCTGACGGTCGCGCGTTTTTCCTCCCGGGCCCCCCGGCGCAGCGTGGACGGCTCGTGTTCTGGAGCTCTGATTGGTTCCTGCCGGACGAAGCCCCGCCTCTGAAGGGCCACCAGTGGTTCAGAGACCAGGAGGTGCAGCCTATCAGCGAGCGAGAGCGAAGGGGCGGAGGAACACTGGGCGAGAGCGCCGATTGGGTGGAAGGCGGGCCCTCGAGGCCTCTAAGAGTTCCCATTGGTCTGATGCGTCTTGCGTCAGGAATGTGAGGCGGAAGTGGCTGGGAAGAGGATGGGGGTGTTAAATTTGGGGACTCTGCCGGACGGTCAGTTTTGGGGGTAGCGGAGGCCGGGCTTGGAGGTCCGAGCGGGCTGAGAATGGCTATTCGGGAAAGCTCAGATTGGGATCCGAGAAGCGTCAGAGTGGGGGCGGCATCTGAAGGACTAGGGGAGGCAAGATTTGAGGGGACTCAGATTCAGGGCGAAAGATCCAGGGGTCCTGCAGTGACGGGCCGCGCGGGAGGGCAACTCTGAGAGGGCCCAGAGTAGGGGACGGTCCGATAAGACTGAGTGGACGCGAGGACGCTCAGATGGGGCATCTGACAGGGCTTGAGTCGGGAGGGGGGCCACGCGGACCCGAGGTTCCTACTCCTGATTGCCGCCCTGAAGTAGTTAGGATGAGGTCTCGAACTAAGGTGTTTCGGGGGCTCTGGATGTAGTCCCGGGGCTGCTCAATTTCTTGAGAAAGGCCCCCTGTAGGGACAGAGGATGTCTCCATGAGGGGATTGAGAGGACACATTCATGTAGTTAGGCCCTTGTTGGATGAGTTTGGGGGACTGTTCTGGGTATTCCTTGTGACTCGGCAGGCTCACTGGGTGACTTTTGAGATGCTGAGTCTCAGGTTGTAGAAACCAAGCGAGTTTCACTAGAGGGCTGAGGTGGGTCCCAGGCCCATAATAGAGCAAAAAGCTGGGTGAGAGTTAAGGGTGAAAAGCCTGATGACTTCAGTGTCTCCCCTCCCCACAGGACTGGGTGCATGGAGTTGGTGTCGATGGAGGATCAGCATGCCAGGGTCCCAGCCCTGGAACCATTCCTGGTGGAGCAGGTTGTCAGGGTGGGGCTTGCCAAGGGTGAAGGTGGGGACTAGAGGCGGGACATAGTGTGGGAATAGGTGGGCTGACGCCTGTGCTTGTGGGTCAGGAGTGCCTACTCCCTCTAAATTTATTCTGTCCCTCAGGATCTAGCCCCGCTCTCATCCCCATGTCCGAAATGGTCCTTGATCCCTCAATTAGGCTTGGCCTCTTTAGGGACATCCTGAGCTTCACTCCTAGAGAGAGGGGCTGCTCAGCGATGACAAGGCTTCTGTGTAGGTCAAAGGGCCACATCTTCAGGGGGGGTCTCTCTCTTGTAGGCACCACCTGTAATCTACTATGTCCCTGACTTCATCTCCAAAGAAGAGGAGGAATATTTACTTCGACAGGTGACCCCAAAACCCTTCTGGCCTGTTTTCCTTCTCTTTCCAGATCCTTCTCCATACTCCAGCTCCTGTGTGAGAGCCCCCGAGGCTGGCAGGACAGAGAGTGCCATGCTTCACCATCTCCTGCCCATTCTATTCCTGCAGGACCTGCTGGACCTATCAGATAGACCATTTTCTAGGAGGCTTAGAGGAAAACAAACTGATTTTTAGATTGGCGCTACTTACCATGGAGCTGAGGATCCCTGTGCTGATATCCCAGTCCTGCTATCTTTTTTTTTAATGATTTTTCAAAAATATTTTATTTTTATTTATGCATAAAAGAACTGGGGTGTAGGCCAGAAGTTTGGGGGTAAGAGGATTCACCAGAGACAGAGTGAGGAGCAGAACAGGCAGATCTACTGAAATACGCTGCTGAGAGGAGGAGCAGGTGATATGGGAGAGGTCTGCTATGCCATGTGGTAGCTCCCTGGCCAGGGATCGAACTTGTGCTTCAGTCAGTGGCTGCCAACAGCTTCATAGTACTGAGACTTAACCCCTGCTCCACCAGGGAGACCCACCAGTCTTGCTATCTTAAGAAAAGGAGGCTAGAAGCATAGGCTGAGATAGCCCAGTTCAAGCTCTTGCAACTTGGGGAATGAAGAATTTTGTGTTCAGTTTCTGTGCTGAGATAAGCAAGACATCTGCGTATTAGAGTAGCCTCTTCCTGTGTGGAGATATCCCAGCATGGGCCCAGAGTCTTGGAGACAAGGTTACCAAGTACAGACCACCTGTGCTGAGCTAGCCCATCTGCATCTTATTCTTAAATTTGGGGGAAAGAAGAATTTACACAACTTAGAATCCTGTGTTGTAAGTTGCAGCCCTTTGCAGCCCCGGAGCCTTAGTTTCAGAGCACACATCTTCCTAGTGGATCCTGCTTGTCCAGGCTAGTTTGAATCTCAAGAATAAGCAAGCCATATAATACACACTCTGTGTTAAGATAGCCCATTCCAGTCCCTTTGGTTCTGAGGACTGGGAATTTTATATATTTCACCTGAAATAGCTGAGTCCAGCCCCATAACCACAAAGTGGTGAGATTATTGAATAGGGTGTAGACTTGGACTTCTTGGAGATTTCCTATTCTAGACCCTTCTGATCTTGGCAGTGGGGAATTTTCAAAGTGCTGTCTTCCTTATGCAGAGATAGTTCAGTTTAGCACACCTTCTCCAGAGTTTCAGAACTCAGACTGTGCTGAGGTAAGATCATTCAGGAATTAAGAAATTGCAGAGTTTGCTGGGCAAAAAGACTTAGCCCAGCTTTGAGCTCTTAGATTCAGACCACAGTTGTGTAGTCCTGGTTCCTTTCCTTGATCCTCTTAGAAACAGACAGGCTTTGGGGCCAGCAACAGAGAACAGGGCAAAAGCCAAAATCCTGGGGACATACTATCCGAGAGAACAATTGCTCAGACACTGTTGTGACCCATTTTCACCCCAGGGAAAGACCCCTTAAGCTGTCCCAGGTAAGAGCATCAGAGAGGGTGGTCCTGAAAAAGGAGTGACCCCTTCTTACCTTCTCAGGTCTTTAATGCCCCGAAGCCAAAGTGGACCCAGCTTTCTGGGAGGAAGTTACAGAACTGGGGTAAGTGTCCTGGCTGGGGGCATGGGTGATTTGGGGATATGGGCTGGGACAGGTGGCTCAGGTTGGATTGTCACAGTATATTGGAGGGGTTTTGAGGATTCAAGGGGTTCTAAGGGCCAGGAAGATTCTGAAGGATAAGTGGAGGTCCTGAGGAGTTGCGGATATCCTGATGATTTGTGGGTGTCTTGAAAGGTCCAGGGGTTTGGAGAAGTCAGGAAACTTTTGGAGGGTTGAGTGGTGGTCCTCAAAGGATAAGGGGTTGCTGAGGGGTCAGAGTGCTACCAACCTGTGGGATAGCCCTAATGGGGACTCCACATGCCAGGGCTGCTTGGCCAGGTGCCCTCAGGACTCCATTGCCCTCCCCTAGGTGGGCTTCCCCATCCCCGGGGGATGGTTCCTGAGCGGCTGCCCCTGTGGCTCCAGCGCTACGTGGACAAAGTGTCTGACCTCAGCCTTTTTGGGGGTCTCCCAGCCAACCACGTCCTTGTGAACCAGTATCTGCCTGGGGAGGGCATCATGGTAAACCATGCCCCCTCACCCCGATCCCTGACCTCTGATCCACCATGGGGCTGGGCTGGCTGTCATGTTGACCCACCTCCACTCTCATTAAGCAGCCACATATGCCAGTTGGGCCTTCACTTCCCTGTCCCCAGCTGGGGAGGCCCCCTTTCATCCCAGGGGCTGTGGGCTGTGGACAGGACTCTGCCCTGTCCAGCTCTGGTGCCCATTCCCCAGCCCCACGAGGACGGACCCCTGTACTACCCGACTGTCAGCACCATCAGCCTGGGCTCACACACTGTGCTGGATTTCTACAAGCCGCGGCAGCCAAAAGATGATGACCCTACAGAGCAGGTGGGCCCCGAGCTACTGGGAGTTTGCTGGCATCCCTCATCCTCCAAGAGGTCCCAATCCCATCCGTCTGTAGCTACCTGATACCCTCCCAGACACCTTCCCCTGTCCCCTCATATCTTCCCAGATACCTGTCTGCTCACAAGGCACACTAGAACCCATAATGTCCACAGACACCCCAATACCTCCTCCTCCAATACACCCCCCAGGTTCAGAGTGCTCAACATCCCAAGTCCATATACCCCAGGCTGGAATCCCCAGTCCTCCAACAGACCCCCATATTCTCTGGTGGATTAACATTTTTCACTGGTGGATGTCCCTGACAGCTTTCCAGTCACCCTGGTTTTCTCTGCCCACTGCACAGGGCACCCCAGTGCTGACCACCCTGTCATTCCAGTAATATGATCTGCCATTCAGGACACCCCTGGTTCTCCTTAGCACCTCAACATATAACTGGCTGCTCTTGGACCACCTGACTCCTCTCTCTGAGGGTGGTTCCTGACAGCTTCCCCAACCCCTTTCTGGGTGATGCATTGGGTGTCAGAATCACCCCAGTGTTCACAGAGACACCCCTAGGCACCTTGACCCTGGCTGTTCCTTAGGGCTTCCCTTTTTAGTCCTGGATGGGCTGATACCCCACTCCTCCGCTACTGTGTAGTGTCCACAAATATCCTGACATCCGCAGAGGCCCGAACTATCTGCTCATCTGCCTCTACTGTCCCCCAGCGGGTACGGCTTCAGCCTGCTCTGCCCAGCTCCCTGGAACCACTGCTCCTTTGGTGCCAGGCCCAGCCCCTTGAGTTCCCTTGGTTGCCCCATCTGCAGCCTAGTTCCAATCCCCTCCCCAGGGACTGTTACCCCAGCCCCACCCCATCCTTTCCCTCAATCCTCGACTTGGGACCCATGGGGTTTTTGCTCCATCCCTGAGGTCATGCTTCACCCTCAGCATTCACCCCAGGGATTTGCTGACCCTTGCCCCTAGACTCCCAAAACCTGCAGACCTCTCCTTTACCCCCACCCCAACTGCTGGGGACCTTCTGACCATCAACCCACCCTGCAGCCTCGGCTGCCACCCAGGCCGGCCACCTCGCTGCTGCTGGAACCGCGCAGCCTCCTGGTGCTCCGTGGCAGCGCCTACACCAGCCTCCTCCATGGCATCGCAGCCTCCAGTGTAGACGAGCTGGACACCACCTCCCTGCCCCCCAATGCAGCTGCCTGCCCGTCGGCCCAGCCTGGAGCCCGCCTGGTGCGGGGTACCCGCGTCTCACTGACCATCCGCCGGGTACCCCGAGTACTGCGCACTGGCCTCCTGCTCAGCAAGTGACGCCAGGCCCCAGGATCCACTGGGATTCCGGGGCTCTCCTCTAACTGTGACCCTGGAACCTTGGAATCCTGGGGCAGAGGCGGCTCCCCTGGATTATTTATTTTCCCAGTAACTGTGGGAAGCCCAATAAAAGGCCTCATTCCAAATAAACCAACAAAAATCTTTCTTTGGTGTTGGCGTTTTGGGGTGGGAGGGCAGATGCTAGGGTTCCTAAGGCGTCATCCAGGGGTCAGATCAGTGGGCCCTGCATCACAGAGTGGGGCAGAATTCAGGGCTCCTGAGGGGGTGGGATTAGCTCTAGGGCATCCCCATGCCTTTAGGTGGGGGTGGGCTGAGTTTGGGAGGTTGAGCTACTGGTACCCCAGGGAGGAAGGAGTTAAATGGTGCCTCAGTCACCTGAGCAAGGCATCAAATTACCTAGGTCAGGTTTCACTGGGAAGGAGGTGGAGCTGAGTCTGCCCTGGGTTCTGACTGTGGGGCCTGCTTGAATCAGTGGTTCCCCAGATAGAAAAAGGGCTCTTCCTTGGGATTTTCACTGATCTCTGGTCCCGAGCCCCCAGCTATGGCCCTGTCCCCACCATGGGACCCTAGATCAGAGACTCTCAACCATCCCCCTGGAGCCCCTAGGGAAGTGGACATTGCTAGGGGCTCCATCTGTCCGGCATCTGGAGAGGAGAGAATCAGGTAGGGGTTGGGCCTTTTGAGATTTGGGTCTCTAAAGGGTGGGGGTAACAGCAGGAGTCCTTTGAGGGTACTGTGGCTATGATCACCTGGGGCTGTGGGGTCAGGTAAGGTGAATAATGAGCATCCTCCTGTCGCTACCCCATGCCTTCTAGGCCAGAACAGACCCAGGAGCGGGGGCCGGACTTCTTGGACCCTCTAGAGCATTTCCAGGCTAGGCCGAGGGGCACTGAGCCTGCTGCTGGCACCCTCAGATTGCCAACACCCTCTTCCCAAGAGGACCCAGCTGGGAGCAAACATATGGAGGTGAGCTGTTATAACTCAGGCCCCAGGTTCCAGCCCCCTCCTTGCTGTACCTCAGAATCTGGCCTCCACAGGTGGCATGAGGTGATGATTCTGGAACAGTGTTGGGCATCTGAGGAGGGAGGGGCACACTAGAAAATTCATTACCAATCATAGAGATATTTCAGTATTTTACCAAGCGAAAAAGAATCATCTCTTCACTGGCCTTGGTGCAACCCCATCCCCTGCTCCCAAGCCCCACATGTCCATGATTCTAGGAGCTTCGAAAGCCTGAAAACTTTGAACTAGAAGTCCCTAGGCTGGTCCCTCTGGGAAGGACTCCAGGTGGGAGCTGTCCTGGTACAGACTCTGCTGCAGAGAAGCATCCAGAAGGCAGGGGCCTGCAGAAGGGTGGCACCCGAGAAAGGGGGCAACATCTTGGTTCACCCACTGGCCCTGACTCAGCCCCGTTTTCCCCAGCACCCCATCTCTGGCAGGGAGGTACTGGAGGCTGAACAGGACAGCCTGCACCTCTGCCTTTTGAGAATGGGCCTCCGGCTGCAGGACCTAGAGCAAGGCCTGGGGCCCTGGGCACCGGCCCAGAGCAGGATGGTCCAGCTGCAGGTGGGCAGTGGGAAGCCAAGGTGTGGGAGGGTGGAGGAGTGGGTGCTGGCTTCCTGGTGTGGGAAATTGGTTAACTCCATGTTCTAGGTATCTGGGAAAGAAGTACTTTTTGGGGGAGGTTTTAACTTCTGGGGGTGGTGTGTGTGTGTGTGTGTGTGTGTGTGTGTGTGTGTGATGTCCAACCATGTGTCCACAGGCCCTACGGGCAGACCTGCATGGGGCAGCTGAGCGCATAGATGCACTGCTGGCATTTGGTGAGGGGCTGGCACAGCGGACTGAGCCTCAGGCCCGGGCATCACTGGAGCAGGTCCTGAAGGCCCTTGGCGCCCACCGAGACAGGATCTTCTGGCGGCTGTGGCGACTCCAGGCCCAGCTGGTCAGCTACAGCCTGGTAGGGCCCACCCCGGCGGTCCCTGGCCCAGGAGCCAGTCCCCTGACCCCCATGACCTCTGTCCTCTGGCCAGGTCTTCGAGGAGGCCAACACACTGGACCAGGACTTGGAGGCTGAGGGGGACTCGGACGGGCCAGGGCCTGGTGGGGCCTGGGGGCCTTGGCCACCCAGTAGCCACCCCACTCCTGCGGAGTTGGAGTGGGACCCAGCGGGGGACGTTGGGGGCCTCAGGCCTTCAGGGCGAAAGGCAGCCTGGACAACAGGAGCTCCCTGTGAGCTGTGTGGCCACAGGGGCCCCCAGGGCAAGGGTCAAGGCCTTGAGGTGAGAACAGATGGGGACCTCCCTCCCCCAGGTACCTATGGGTGCTTCTCTGCGCCTCCTTTCAAGCAGGGCCCTTCCCTTTCAAGGAGTTCCTGGTGGCTCTGTGTCTCCCTCTGTCTCTCAGTATCTCTTTCCCTCCGTGTCTCTGTTTTCTTCCCTCCTTCCACTTGTCTCTTTTGGTCTCCATGTCTTCCTCTAGCTCACTGTGCACCCCTCTCATCTGTCTGAATTTGCATTTCTTTTCACTCCCCCACCTCACTCAGCCGGCTCCTGCCATACTAGCCTCCTGGCTTTGCTTTTCTGACATCCCTGATTCACGTCTCCAGGCCCCCAGATGCGCGCCCGGCTCCCCTTCATTCATCTAGTCCCTCCTCAGGTGTCATCTCTCCAGAGAGGCCGGCGCTCGCCTCCAAACATTGTCACTCCTTGTCCTCTTGCTTTATTTCCTAACCTCACCTTATCTTGACATTATACACTTCTTTATTAATTTCTGGTCTCTCTCTCCCTTCTGCTGAAATATAAGCTCTGAGGGGGGCAGACTTTGCTTGTTTCCACCCCCACTGTGTCCCCAGCTCCCAGAGCAGTGCCCGGCATGTAACAGACACTCATTAAATATTTGTTTTTTCGATGAATGAATAATGTCTCTCTTCTCTTGGTTTCCTTGGCTCTGCCCCTTTCTTCAGCTCTCCCAGAGATCTTTTTCCTTCCAGAATCTCATCTCTATGAAACCCCCTATCTCGGCCCCTCCACAACCTCGTGCCTCTTTGTCACTGATTCTCCAAGTACCCTGAACCTCTCTCTTCCCACAGGACACGCCCGTGTCAGGCCTTAGCCATCGGAAACACTTAGCACGTCAGCACTCCCTGGCCCGAAAGACTCAGGTGAGCTGGTTCTCAGCCAGGTGTATCACTTGGGAATCTTGGTGGCAAGTGACAGAAACCCAATCCAAATTACACAAAAAAGGGGGTACTGTATTTTCATGGAACTGCAAAGTCCATATACTGCTGAATTCAGACCCTCAAATGCCATCCGGTCCCTTCCCCCCCTTGAACTGTCCTTCCCCCAGGTGGCTTCCTACTCAGCAAAATGGCTGCCCCAGCAACTATTCATTCACGTCCCACTGGTTTTGCTCATCCCCGGGGAATGAAAGTACCTCTCACCTATTGGCAGCAGCTGAAGCTCGAGGGCTGCTCCACCTTCCCTAGCTTGGGTCACGGCCTATGCCCTTAATAAGCCACAGCCACAGTGGTCAAGCTGATGGACTGCTCTGATGGGCCACATCTAGGCCACATGCCCATTCCTGGATGTGAAAATGTGGGATCAGCTGCATGTGAACCTGAAGGCTGGAGAGGGGTGGGGTGGCTGCATGTGACAGCCACCCTACCCCAAATCTAGCCAGTGTTTCCAGGGAAAGGAAGTTTGGACAGAGTGTAGACACAAAGACATTCACTGTCCTTGGTGATATTCTGAGTCTATACAGGGTCTGGGGATCAAGGAGGTGCCAGGAAAGGGAGAAATAAGCCTACCCCATAGGTCTGTAAAGGTAAGGGACAGTCCAACTAAGGGTCACTCATTCATTCTGCTGTGGGCTGCTGTCTACCCCTAGGCCAAGAAGAGGCAAGCCTCTCCCAGTCTCCAGGATGTGATGCTGGAGGTGGACCCTGGGTGAGCCACATGGAGGAGGGCCTGAGGGTGTGGGGTGAGGGCAGCCCACCATAAATATTTTTAAAATTTAATTATTCTTTTAAATTTATTTTTGCATAGAGGAACTGGGGTATAGGCCAGAGGTGCGGGGCTCACCAGAGACAGAGTAGGGAGCAGGACAGGCAGATCTACTGAAATACACTGCTGAGGGGAGCAGCGGGTGAGACAGGAGAGGTCTGCTGCATCATATGTGTGTCAGCTCCCTGGCCAGGGATTGAACTCTGGCTGTAGTGGTGGTAGCATTGAGATTTAACCTCTAGGCTACCAGGGAGGCCCAGGCCACCATGTATTTAACCGCATTTCCCTTTGCAGAGCCTCCACTCCTGCATCTAGGCAGTCCCTGACCTTCTTCCTCATGCTCCTTCTCTTTCTTCTGGTGGGTGCCACACTGCTGCTGCCCTCATCAGGGGACCTCTGCTGCTCTCCTACCCAATTGGCCAGGACACCTTACCTGGTGCTCAGCTATGTCAATGGTCCCCCCCCAATCTGAGTACACAGCCCCACCATACATAATAAATGGTCGCTGTCAAAGAATGTGTCTTATAGTCCATTTGGGCGACTCTAACAAAGCAACATAAATGACTTCAAAACATAAGGAATTTGTTTCTCACAGTTTTGGAGACTGAAAGTCCAAGATTTGGTATCTGATGAGAGCCCGCCTCCTGCTGTATAAACGGCTATCTTCTTTCTGTGTCCTCGGGTAGAAAGGGCAGGGAGTTATTTGGGGTCTCTTTTATAGGGGCACTAATCCCTTCCATGAGTGCTCCCCTTCCTAAAGGCCCACCTTCTAATGCTACCACATTGAGAGTTAGGATTTCAACATTCAATTTTGAGGGAACACAGAACGTTCAGTGTCTGGCAGGGTGTGTGGACACCCAGTGCCCCAGCACTTGGAAATGAGGGGGGCCTGATGTGTTTGGCAGCTCCCTCTTGTCAGCCTTGAGCACAGATCATGGAACTGGGTCAGCCCATCTTGGGCTGGGTGTCCCCAGACCCCAAGACAGAAATCCAACACGGGTGGTGAGTCCAGGCAGTGACAGGAGAGTGGGGAAGTGAGTCAGGGTTGGAGCTGGCTGCTGCTGAGGTGCCACCCCCGAGAACCTCAGCTTCACCATTTCCTCTCCTGCCTCAAGACCGTCTTGTGAGGAGTCAATAAGGAGGTTTCTTTAAGGTAAGGCTAGGTGGGCTCCCTCATGGAACCACCTAGGTGAGAACTGCGCAGCTTCAGCCAATCTGCCTGCCTAGAAGGTTCCAGGTCCTTACATCCAAACTCTGCCAGGGGGTCGGTCCACTCAGGGCATGTGTGTGGGGTGGGGTGGAGGGAGATCTGGGCTAGGGAGGCATCTTCAAAACCTCCAAACACACAAAATCTTTAAGATCACCAACAGGGAAGGAAGCACACTCCCATTTTTATTCCCTTTGTATAACAGTCCTGAGGAGGAAGAGCACAGGAGTCAGAGGTCCCCCTCAGAACCATCAAATAGAGGTCTTACTCCCTTCCTCGCAGGTCCAAATTTTCACAATAAGTGGGGGAGGAAGGTTTTTCAAAGAGGAATTCCGGGTTTCTCACAGACCATCAGTAAAAAGTATGATCAAAGTCCTCAGCAAAAACTGCTCTTCTCAGAGTTAAATACTGGAAGGGTGTCTCAAGGAGCCAGGGGTGGATATGTTCTCCGTGATCAAGAGAAGGGAGTCCCAGTTACGAGGGGGAGGGCTCCCGTGTTCCCCATGTCTCCGGGCAAGTAAGCAGCTCTCAGCGTGACATATTCCATCCCACGGAGACCCAGACATCCCCAAGCCCATGGGGAAGCCAACCAGCTATCATACACTAGGTCAGGTTGGGTTTCTCGCCATCCATCAACGGTGTCTCCAGGACCCCAGGTCTCCAGAGGGCTCTCCGATGCCCCCAATGCGTCGAGCTGCTTTCTCAAGACCTCTCACCGTCCATCCCGGGTGCCCTCACACAATCTGAGGGTCCCAGCACCCCCCAGCATCATCGGATGAACTCTTCCACGAGTCACCTTCTATTGGACGGGTTTTCCGGAGCTCCCGGGCCGTCCAGTGCGCCCCTCCGACGCTTATCGTCGTCAGGCGAGGTCCCCATGCCGCGGGGGTCCTCCGTCGGGTCTCGCAGGCGGACGAAGGCGCCCAAGGCGGTGGCGTGGCTGGAGCGCAGCAGCTGGAGCTGGCGGCGCCCGCGGCGGTACAGGTACTCGATGCGCAGCACGTCGGAGCGCGGCAGGCTGGCGTTCTGCCGGAACTCGGCCCGCACCCGCGCCTCGGCGCCCGGCTTCCCGCGTCCGGCGCGCAGCAGCTCGCGGTACAAGCTCAGAACTTGCCTCTGCAGTCGGCTGGGCCGGCTCATGACTGCAGCGGGGCCGCGGGCGCCCGCCCCGAGCGCCCAACCGCCCCGCCGGGCAGCGCCGCAGAAAAAGCTGGCGCTGGAGGCAACAGGCACTTCCGGCCGGCGCGCATCCCAGCCTCCGCCTCCCGGCGCTGACGCGCCCCATTGGCTGGCGCCACCGTTACGTCACAGCATTGCGACAGGGGGCGAAGCTTCTGACCCGCTAGCCCGTCCCACCGACAATCTGTGTCCTTGACCCGGCAGCGGCGCTGGACACCTGGGGGCGCGGGCGCGGGCGCGGGCGCGGGGGCGGGGGCGGGGGCGGGGGCGGGGGCGGGGGGCGGGGGGCGGGGGGCTAGACGCTCGGACTGATAGGCTTAGGGACACGCGCTTTTGAGTCGTGACGGAGGTTGGACTGCCTCGCAGGTCCGGGAGCCGGGAGAGAGAAGACAGGCGCCAGCACATTTGTGTCATCTGTTCTTTATTACACCGTCGGGGAGCACCGTGCGTCCCCACCGCCGGCGCAGAGGGGCGTCGGGACCCCAGTTCTGGGGACACGCAGGGGCACGGGTCACGCGGTGGTATTAGGTCATCGCCGGCGGGACGAGTTTCTCCGTGCTGTGGGGAGACTAGCCCGTCAAAGGATGCCCGCGTAGCGGGGTATTGGCCACGCGCCCTCTGCCCAGGGGGCCGCCCCGCGGCGGCGAGGGAGGGGCCTCACCAGCTGTTGAAGGCCTGAGTCCGGCAGGCCTGGAACACGTCGAGTAGGCTGGCACCCGGGAGTCCCCCCGGGAGTCTGAGGTCGTCGGCCGAGACGCCGTTGTAGTCTCCGCAAGCTGCCCGGAGGCGTCCTTGTAGGGTGGGGGAGGCCCGCAAGGCTACGGCCCCCTCCGGCCCCACCAGCATCCGGAGCGTGGGGGTCCGCTCGATGATAATCCGGGAGCCCTCCTCCCAGCGCGCCACCACGCCCCCGCACACCCGGGCCGGGAGCTGCGCTGGGCGACGGTTCACCTGCGGAGAGCAAAGGCGGGGGCTGGCGGCGGGAGTCTGGAACCTCAGAACCCCTGTGTCTGTGGAAGTGCATATCCTGGTCTTTGCCAGAGGAGTAAGGTCTAGGAGTGGCTTTAAAACCCTTCAGCAGGGACAAAACAAAAAGAGTGGGAGGAAAAGATAAACTCAAGAATGGCAAAATACTTGTAACTGTAATGAAGTTTCATAACACGCTTCTTTCTTCATAATAAACTTGGGCTCTTTAGACAAAAAGCGCGTATGAAACGTGTCACATCTCTCTCACCTGTGTCTTCATAATTGGATAACTTAACTGACCCCTTACCAAACTCTGTGCCAAGCACTGTTCTAAGTTAATTAGGCCATAAAATAATGTATGACATAGTAGAATAATACAATATGCAAAATAATACAATGCAACTGGTATTCTAATAGGTTGTCACCTACTTTATATTTCATGTAACATTTATTTTAAAACAGTATTTATCACTGATTGAACACTTAGCCTTCTAAATGATAGTTGCTATTTAATCCTCACCAACATTCTGTCAAGATAGATCTACAGTACTATTTGCCTTTTGCCTCTTACTGATAAGAAAACTGAGGCCCAGGCAACTTAACATACCTTTCCCAGGTTCACATATCCGGTAAGTATTTAGCAGAACCAGGTATGAATCCAGGGGATCTGACTTTAGGATCTTGTTCTTAATCACTGCTACATATACTGCCTCTCCAATAACTATCTAAAAGTAGCTGCAAGAGTAGTCACAGCTTAAACTGAGTAATTAGCATATGCCAAACACTTTACATGTAATCCTCATAGCCACCCTATGTGGTGGTGAGTACTATTTTTATCGCCACTTATTTTGACGCATACATTTAGGCATAGCGAGAGTCATTTTTTTGTGCAAGTTTACACTAGAGTTTTAAGAGTGTGTCTCAGTCAGCATCTCTGCAACCAAAGGTTCTGCCTTAGCTTACCTGCCAGGTTATGACAGATATCCCAGTCCCATTCTTACAATCAGCCTCGAGCTGCACAGCTGGATTCTATTCTCAGCATGGGATTTCAGCTTTGTTTTCCCCTTGCTTATAGTTTTCATGACCTGAACAAGGTCATTTTTTTTAAGATTTATTTATTTATTTATACAAGCACTGGGTACAATCAGAAGCGCGGGAGGTGAGAGAATTCACCAGAGCCAGAGCAGAGAGTAGAGCAGGCATAGTGATGAAGTACACTGCTGAGGGGAGCAGCGGGCGGCAGGAGAGGTCTGCACGCCATGTGGGACCCTCCCCGGTGGCCGGGGATCGAACCGGCGCTGCAGAGGCTGCGGGCAGCTTCACAGCCCAGCGCTCAACCGCTGTGCCACTGGGGAGGCCCTCCCCTTGCTTATAAATATCCATTTTGCCTTCCTGGATTCCAATTCTCTGCTGCTCTCAGCTTCCATGTTCCTTGAGGAGCCAGGTACCCTCCACCCTGGCATCTCTCTCTCTCCTGGATTTACAACTTATCTGGCTTCTTCCCATTAGCACTTAAATATCCTTGAGTTTATCTAATCTCAAAATCATAATAAATCAGTTCTAAGATACCCTCGCCAACTGTTGGTCTCTATTATCCCCTTTCCACACGGACAACTTGTCAACTTGTGCCTGCTGTCTCCACTGAAGTCTCTCACTCCTCAACTCTGCAATCCAGGTGCTTCCTGGATCTTGTGATTTTATAATAAGTCACCTTGGCACACCTTGACGCTCAGCCCATGGACACACAGTGGTCTATTGTATGCTCATTAGTTCATTTTCACCACAGTTAAATACTGTATTTTCCTTTTCTGGGTCTAGCTCTGTAATGCTCCTCCTTGCTCCTAATGAGCCTCAGCTCATTTTTCACTCCCTTCACTCATCCTCTATGTTGGGGAACTTCCTCCGGACTCGCATAGCCTCCTTGTGTCCCCCATTCCTGCCCTGATTGTTCAGGCTTCTGCTTCCCCTATTACAGCTCTCAGTCAGTTCCCAGGCATTCAGCAGGTTTGGGCTCAAGGTGGGGTCAGTGGATGTTGACAAGTCCAGGGTGAAGTTTATGTGAGATTCAGAGAATGATGGGAGATCAGGGCTAGGGCATTTAGCCAATGGAGGTTAATGTGAGATCAGAGGATAATGGGAGAATTCTGCTTTAAAAAGTACAGGGGGGCATTGAGGGATCAACAGGGCCCAGGGAAAGGTACCAGGTTATGCACAAGTCTTGGCTGGGACTGAGTGAATCTCTTACCCATATTTCTTGATTGGGTCCCACAGCTGCACAGCCATCCCTGAAGTTGATGATCACCCACGGTTGGGTGGCAGTGCACCCCGGACAGGGTGGGAAGTCAGCAATGACATGGAACCAGTCAGGATCTTCAGGCCCGGAACCTACCAGTGTGGCTAGATCATAGGCACAGGGCATAATAGGCACGGGCGCAAACCCACTGAAGCCATCAAAGGTGGTGAAGAGGCCCCCAGGCACTAGGCGACATGTGGCACCCTCCCCAGCCTCACATGACCACATTCCCCCAGCCAGGATGCAGTCTGTGCCCTGTGGGCAGGAAAACGGCTGGCACTGGGGACCTTGGCCACGCAAGCACATACACTGTTCTTGACAGCCTGGCAGGATCAGCGCCTCACCGACCTACAGAGACAGACAGACAGACTCAAAACCAAATCCAAAAAACATCGACAGACAAACATCACAAAGGACTAATTTCCCTAATATACAAAGAGTTCCTAGAAACCAAAAGGAAGACCAATAACCCAATATATAAAAATGAGCAAAGGGGGCCTCCCTGGTGGCGCAAGGGGTTAAGCACTGTACTATGAAGCAATCCACAGCCTCTGCAGCACGAGTTCGATCCCCGGCTGGCCAGGGAGCAACCCACATGATGCAGCAGACCTCTCCTGTCTCACCCACTGCTCCCCTCAGCAGTGTATTTCAGTTAATCTGCCTGTTCTGTTTCCCACTCTGTCTCTGGTGGATCCTCTCACCCTCCGCATCTCTGGCCTGTGCCCCAGCTCTTGTATGCATAAATAAATAAATCTTAAAAAAAAATGAGCAAAGGCTCAACAGAAAGTTAATAGAAAAGGAAATACAAATATTCCTTTGGCATTTGGGAAAAAATGCTCAACTGCCTAAGAAGACAAATAGAAATTAAAAATTCACTGAGATATTTTTTCCCCTATGAGATGGGCAAAATAAAAAGTGTTGTAAGTTTCTCCAATTTTCCTCCAAATATCTTGTGTAAGTATTCTTTTTGAACCAGGATCCAACCAAGCTCTGTGCACTGCATTTGAGTATTTTGTTTTCTTAATTTAGGACAATCTCTCTGCTTTTCATTGCTGCATGAAAGCCTGAAGAACTCTCTGAAGATTCTGATGTGTGGTGAGCATCGTTAGCACCTGTGTGGAGTGGACAGGCAATGGCAGATGTCTCTGTTCTTATACCTTGTACCTTTTGACATGGTTATTGCTTCATCCCCAGGGTTGCTTTGGGGTTTAAACATCTATGTCGTTCCTATCAACTGACTCCTAGCAGCCAAGACAGTTACTCCAACCAGCTTGGGTGGCTGTGTGTCTTTTTTTTTTTTTTTTAACCTCCCTATGGACTCAAGGGAGGACTCAAGCTGCAAAACCTTGGTGGGGTTCACTTTGCCTGCTCAGAGTCCATCTATGGTTTTCTGATAACACCCTCTCCATTTGTCTATGAGGAACTAACTCTTCTTTTTTTTTTTAAATGTATTTAATTATGCATACAAGAACTGGGGCACAGGCCAGAGGTGCGGGGGGTGAGAGGATTCACCAGAGACAGAGTGGGGAGCAGAACAGGCAGACTGAGTGAAATACACTGCTGAGGGGAGCAGCGGGCAAGACAGGAGAGGTCTGCTGCACCATATGGGTTGCTCCCTGGCTGGTTGGGGATCGAACTCCTGCTGCAGAGGTTGCTAACAGCTTCACAGTGCTGTGCTTAACCCCTTGTGCCACCAGGGAGGCCCACTAGC